CCTTGCCGTTCATCCTGCTTGCCTTCCAGCACCAGCAAACAACTAAGGGAAATCTGTGGCCACATTAACCCACTTTGCTGTTTCTCAAGGGGCAGAAAGGTGAGATGGCTCCATGCTGCCAGGAGGACACTGCCATCCTGACGTAGGTGAAAATGAAACGGCCTGACCCACAGGGAGAGTCACGGCTTCCCAGGCTCGCTGCCTTGCCAAGAGCTGCTGCCTGCTCCTTCAGGGCCATGTTATTTTGGGACCCCAAAAAGCTGATGGATTCATTTGTGACTGCCTCTGCCCTCCAGCCATCGTTGATGCACAGTGGTTGTCACAAAATAGCCTGTTTAAGCAGCAGGATCTTCTTTCCCTGCCCAAGCTGTGACCAAATCATCTGTAGTAAGGGATTTGTGAGGGGGAGACACTATGTTCTCTTGCTCCTCTCAGTGCACCAGGATGAAAGCCTTGCCAGGATTGTCACTCAGCCTGATGCTCCTGCAGCGCATGAAGGATGTGCCAGGCCCCCGGAGCCAGTAACCTGCAGTCTTGGGAGGGAGCAGCTACAACCAGCATCACAACCTGTGCTTGTTATGAGCTCTGGCCTTGGGGAGGAGCTAAGAATCACAAGGATTTCCTTTTCCTCCAACCTGGAGGGAAGAAAACTGAAAACATTTGTCCTGAGCCATTGCTGCTTCCAGAGGGAGTGAAATCCTCTGAGGACTGGGCTGAAGAAGATTCATACCTCAGCTCACGTCCTCCCCCAGCGATCCTGTTACCACCTCCCTCAGCCAGCTCTCCTGTCCTATTTCTCACTGCAATCTAAAGCTTCTCTTCATCAGCCCAACAAAGCATAATTAGAAGCCTAACCACCCAGGTTCGTCAGCCAGGTCCCTTCTTCACAAGGTGGGGAGAGATGGGCATCTCCCATAGGGGCTGCAGCCACCCCCTGCATGAGCCCCACTCTCTATTGGACACACAGATTTGCTGTTTCTAAACCTGGCGATGCTAAACAACTCCAGAAGACCAGGTCTGGCCCATGGCAGAGACCTGGCAGAGCCAGCATGGCTGGGATACACCTGGGATTACTCAGATCTCTGTGTATTGCCACCTCCTGTTCATACACAAAGCTTTGAGCTCTTAGTGCTGCCTTGGAACCATCCCATGGGTGAACCTGCAGCACCCTGGTACCTTTTTTATCAGGAAAAAAAGGTTTTCTGCATTAGGAAGGAAGAAAACTCAAAAATTTCTCAAGCTATTTGTGTTTTTATTAGGAATACCAAGGTTTACCCTTGCTGATTCGAGCAGAGGGCTGACAGGATGGTGAAAGCCTGGAAACTTGCAGCAGCTTGAGCAACTAAAAGATGAGGAATATTAGCTTGCTGCTTTCCCAAGTCATTCACTAAACGCCTGCAGACAGCATCCTTCAAGATCTCATGTCCCCTTAGCTAAACTAGACCTGCCCAACTTCTCTGTGATGTGTGAGGCTGTCCCTTGTATCCCACCTGACGAACCTATATTCCCTGGTGGCCTCCTGTGACCCAGCATCTGATGGCCACACAGGGCGTGACCCAAGATGTGGCTCCACCTGGTGACTCAGGGCACAGTAGCAGTGACCCAGTGAGTGAGACTCTGTGCCCAGCCAGGAGATGCCCAGAGATACCTCCAGCTGCAGCTCTCTGCTGAGACACAGTGAAAACAAGGCAGAGTGGACGTTTTCGAGCTTAACATGTCCAGGGTGGAAATCCCATCTCTCCCTTTGGGCAGTTCTGCCTCGTTCGTTATGGGTCACCACTGAAATTCTCAATCCAGGAGCGAAGCTCAGCCACATGGCTCTGAGGAGGAGTCCACACGACAGCCGCCTCCGACCCACACAAGCATGGTCTCCCCTTATCCACAGGGCAGTTTCAGTTTCAGCAGAAGTAAGACTTGCAAGCTCATGTATAGATGTCTGATCTGCCTCCTCTGCCTGTTTTGTTTCTCCACATACTCTGTTGCTGCAGTCTTATCTCCTGCCTGAGAAAGGCAGCCCTAGTCTCTCACTCCTTCCATGTGGGAAGGCATTCACCTTTCCATATTCATTTGCTTTTCAGAGGATCTTTTTCCCACTAATTTAACCAATTACTTTCTGAACACAGCATTTATATTTTGCCCTCAAACATCTCACAGCAGTTAGTCAGCATTAGAACCATGCACAGTGGGGAAAAAGTACCTCTTTTTGCTTAATTGGAGGTGATGTTGGATTATTTCATTTGGTGCCACCTGGTTGAGAAACTGTGGATGGCAACCATCTATTCACAGTCTTCATCCTTTCCCAGGAGATGTAATACTCCGCTGTAAAAAGAACTAACAATACTCTGTGGTACTCATCTCTGAGCATCCTTCCTGCCTCTTGCACATTTTCCAGTTCCACTATCTCCTGTCTGGAAAAGACAAGAACTGCACTGGTGTTCCATGAGCAAACCAAGAGGAAGGATCTTAGTCCCAGCCTCCCAAAGCAACCTTCTGCATGGGTTCTACCTACAGACCTACTGCAAGGCAGAAAGGGGAGAGGCTAAATTTTCCATCGTCATGGTGCCTACCTGGTTTCTACATTTCCCAGTCACTGAGTCCCTTCAAGGTAGCTGAGAACTGGAACAAGCACCAAACTCTCCCTGTGGATTTTCAAGCCACACAGATTTCCAGAAAAATAGTGCTTTAAGAACATACAGTTTATTTCTGTGGAGTTCAGGAAACAGACACATGCTTAATCGTAGTGAACGCTGTTTTCTTCATTTTAACAACATACAACTGTTAAGCATAGTAGGCTCATTTCGAGGCAGCCCTGGGCTTGGGGCTCTGATGCACCAGTGTCTGAAAACCAGCCCCACACCTTTCCCAGTGAAAGCTACTCTGAAAACATGCTGTGATCCTCATTTTGGGGGAATACAGTGAATTTAAGGACCATCAGATTTCCTTTCCTTTTAAAAGCAACAGCAGCATGACACTGTCAAGTATGGACACTGTAGGGTACCAAACAGCAGGAAATGTTATCAATTGGCAATATCAATTATCCTCTAACACTCCCTCAGTTTTGTATCAAGCTCAGTAGGTTCATGGCTGAACCATCCAGTCCTCAACGCACCACAGGTATCTCCTTTCCCTTATCAGAGCAATCCTATGGATCTGCTGAATGTTACAGTATTGCTGTCTGGTCACAGTAAACAAACTGAACACAGCCCCTGCAGGCTCCCTCCTACCTTCACATTTCCTTCAGGTCTTCTACTGGGAAGTATTCGGCATTTTGCTGTTGGGACTGTGTAAACAGCTTAACCCCCTGCAGCATATAGCCAGGCTTTGCCTTGTGTTTTTTATAGAATTAATAAACTGATTTGAGCTTTGCCTGGGCTTTCATTTTGCAACAATTTTTTTATTAATCTTTGCAGGAGCTGGAAGCATCTTACCTGAATCTGTCTCCTGGCAGCTGGAGGACTGTTGTGGTTAGCAGAACCTGGAAGTGCAGGGTGGTAAGTGAGAAACACATTGTTCACCTCCAAGGGCCACGTGGTCATTCTGTTGGGGATCTGCAAGTTTATGAAGTAGAAAAGGGTTTATGAGAATTAAAGAGATATAGATGTTACAGTCAAAAAAGGAGGAGAAAAAATGTTCCCATTCCTGAACAATTTCTCCCTTCATTTTTCATTTTTTTTTTGTAAGGAGGCTTTTCTTGGATTGTGCACAGTAAACCCCACAAAATCTGCCAGATCATCAGTAGGACACCGTACAGTGTCTAATAGGCACCAGGAAAAGCCA